CATGGAACCTGAGGGTCTTGGTCACAAGGGGCTTCACAGCAAGGCTGATGGGATGTGGGCCTCTGAGCCTGACATTCACCCGGTATTGACTGCACCCTACTGTGTATCTGCACGTGGTAAGCACAATCAGATGGAGCCCACCCTCCTGGCTGTGTGAGCGAGAGTGGGAGTAGTTCAAGATACACATACCCCAAATAAGTACACAGGGTGGGATAAATGAAGAGTGCATGGTCTGGAACTTGTCCCAGTTGAGAAAGGCTTCACTGAGCTGGGGATGAGTAGGTGTCTACTGATGACAGGGCAGAGGCAGGTGGTTAGACATCCTTGCCTTTTTCCTGATCTTAGTGGTAAAGTACTCCCTTTTGCACCCTCAATTATAAGGTTAGCTGTAGGGTTTTTTTTTTTTTTTAAACCACTCAGATCATTGCTAATATTATATTTAAAAATGTAACATACAAGAATACAATCAAGAGAGACATGCAAGCCCGGTACGGTGGTGGCTAACGCCTGTAATCCCAGCACTTTGGGCGGCTGATGTGGGTGGATCACTTGAGGTCAGGAATTTGAGACCAGGTTGGCCAACGTGAAGCCCCGTCTCTACTAAAAATACAAAAATCAGCCGGGTGTTAGGGTGGGCACCTGTAATCCCAGCTGCTCAGGAGACTGAGGCATGAGAATCCCTTGAACCAGGGAGGCGGAGGTTGCAGTGAGCCGAGATCATGCCACTGTACTCTAGCCTGGGTGACAGAGCGAGACCCTGTCTCATAAAAGAAAAAAAAAAAGACACATAAAAATGAAAGAAAAAAAAAAAAAAAAAACAACAGAGACATACAAATGAAAAAAGACTCAGTTTAAGAAAGTCCTGGCATTTTGCGAGGCTGAGGTAGCCAGCTTGCTTGAGCCCAGAAGTTCAAGACCAGCCAGCGCACCGTGGTGAGACCACAGCTCTATAAAGAATTTAAAAAAAAATTAGCCTGGCCCAGTGGTGTGTATCTGTAGTCCCAGCTACTTGGAAGGCTGAGACAAGAGGATCACTTGAGCCCAGGAGGTCAAGGCTGTAGTGAGCTGTGATCATGCCACTGCACTCCAGCAAGGCTCTGTCTTGAAAGAAAATAGTTAATTTGCACATTTATTTGAAGATGAAAAGTTCAACACGATTTGGGCCTCCTGCAACTGAAATTGGCGCCTCCCATTCCCCCTTGCCCCCTCGCCCCGACCACAGAAATGGTAGAAAAAGGGTAAAGCTGTAGGGTTTTTGTAGATGCTCTATCGAGTTGAGGATATCTTCTTCTCTAAGTTTGTTGAGAGTGTTTATAATGAATGGATATGGGTTTTGTTGATGCTTCCTGTGGGAGTTGATTTTTTAGCTTGTTAATAGGATAGATTACATGGTTGATTTTTGAATGTTGAGCTGTTCTTGCCTACCCCACTTGGTCATGCGATGATTCTTTTTATCCACTGCTGGATTTGGTTTATTAATATTTAGAGCATTTTTGCCTGTAGTTTTGCCTGTAGTTTGCTATTTTTTGTATTGGGTTTTGCTAGTTTGGGTATCAAGATGATGAGTTGGACGTGTCCTCTCTTCTCCTTTCTGTAAGTGATTGTGTAACATTGATGTCGTTATTCTTTGAATGTTTGATCGAATTCTTCAGTGAAACCATCTGGGCCTAGAGATTTCTTTTTCGGGAACTTTCACATTACAAATTTAGTTTCTTTACTTAGTATAGGATTATTTATTTTGGTAGTTTGTGGTTGTCAAGGAATTGGTCTGTTCTGTTTCATCTAAGTTGCAAAATTTGTGGGAGTAAAATTGTTTGTAGTATTTCCTTATCCTTTCGATGGCTGCCGAATCTATAATTTCATCCCATCTTATTCCAGATAAAGATAATTTGTGTCTTTTTTTTTTTTTTTTTT